AAAGCAGTATTTTTCAAATTTGACATCTTAAAGATGTGTGGATTTCAACTCCAAGAATTGTTGGCTGGGGAATTCTGAGAAGTCCACATATCTTCAAGTTGCCAAGTTTGAAAAACATTGTTCTTGAGTTACTATCTAGCTTACAGGCTTCTAAATATCCTACACCAGATAATTAATGCTAGCTATAAAAGTCTCAGTAGGGTTGCATGTTTCACTACTGTGCACATATTCTAATTTTCTATACACTATGTAAGCAAATTCTTTAAGATTATTTTTCAGTTTCTTGATTTGTAATTAACTATTGAAAAGGCCATCTGGATGGCAGAGAGAAGAGCTTGTTCATTTTCTCTGATTCTGACGTCCCAAATTATATCCATTTGGAATGGATTGTGTAAATTGTACTTTAGATCAACAACTGAATAGTTATGATTGCAATTTTTTGACATAAGGGAGCCAATATTTAAGACGTGGAATATCTTCCACTAAGGAAACTGGACATAATATTTCCTGCTACTGCACTTTTTGGCTAAATAGATCCAAATGATTTACAATTAGTGTAACTAATTGTTTACTCCAGATGGCCCTATTTGGGTGACCGACTTAATATACAGATAATTCTTTGCCACAAGATCTGGAATTGGCCAATGGTTTACATTACTTTTAATGAGATTCAACAAATTAAGGGAGGACAAAAGTTGGTAACTATTCCTTGCCTAGATTATATAGAATATTATTTTCAGGATCAGAGATAACATGCTGCTCACTGCTATTTTCTAGGAAACAATGGGTGGTGAATGTACAGCTTACGACCAGGGGTGAAATGTTCCTGGTTCGGACCGGATCACCTGATCCAGTAGTGATGGTGGCGGGTGGTTCAGAGAACCGGTAGCAAAAATCCCTGCCCCCACCCCATGCCCAGCTGAGCCGCACGATCATCAGAGGCTTTTTTTTTTTTTTTTACTTTTAAAAGCATTTTTTCTACCACCTCTTCGGCCAAAAAAATGCTTTTAAAAGTAAAAACAAAAAGCCTCTGATGATCGCGCAGCTCAGCTGGGATCGTCAGAGGCTTTTATAAGCATTTTTTTCTACAACCTCTTCAGCCAAAGAGGTGGCAAAAAAAATGCTTTGAAAAGCCTCTGAGGATCCCAGCTGAGTTGCCTGATCGTCAGAGGCTTTTAAAAGTATTTTTTTTTTGCAACCTCTTAAGGTTGTAGAAAAAATATTTTAAAAGTAAACAAAAAAAGTTGGCCACGCCCACCCAGTCACATTACCCCCCCCCCCAAGCCATGCCCACAGAACCAGTAGTAACAAATTTTACATTTCACCACTGCTTACGACCTGCTAGTGGGACTTACAGGGACAACTATTAACTACTGGTTTGGTGGGCAAAAAAATTGGTCAATCATATATCAGTATTTCTCAACCTTGGCCACTTGAAGAGGGGTAGGCTTCAATTCCCAGAATTCCCCATGGCTGGCTGGGGAATTCTGGGAGTTGAAGTCCAGCCCTCTTCAAGTGGCCTAGGTTGAAAACCATTGATGTAGGTTTTTGATCTGATCAATGTATCTCTTACTATGTTTTTAATTACAGCTTATTTTTTATAATTGTAGCCATCCTGACTTCTGTTTCTTCTATGGAATCATGGAAATTGAAATATCCTTAGGCTCTCTGCTTTAATCTCCTCCACTGGAGCAAATTACTAATATTTGAAAGATTTAGATATACATTAAATGGTAACGTGGAAAGTAGGCTTAGCTCTTGTAATGAACTGGCCTCTTACACTGCCAGGTCTGTCAGAATCAGACCGTAAAGCTTACTAAATCAGTATATTAAATAACATTTGGGTTAATGACATAGAAGCACTTGGGATTCAATTGTTACGATTAACAGTTTGCCAATCAGCAAAAAATATCCAAGGTGAAACACATTTGGAGACTATAATGGCCAGTGACTTAACTGGCTGAGTCAAAATGAGAATTGAATAAAGTAAATTTAGGAGAAAGAACAGTGAAGGGAAATTGCAGAGGCTGAGTTTGTAGGGAAAAAATGTGAGAAATTAAATCGTGGGGAGTGGAGAGATATGCTATCTGTGCTTATCCTTTCCTTGCAGGATTTAGCAAACTAAAAGCAAATTTTTACTTCAGGATTTAAGAAATCATCAACAAGCAGGGGTGAAATCTACTTACCTTCCTTACCTGTTTGGAATCGCACACACTGGGCACGTGTGTGAGCAAAGCGAGCATGTGCATGCACATCACAAAACTTTCTGCACATGCGCAGAAGGTAAAAAACACATTATTTCCTGGTTAAAACCAGGAAGTAATCACACCTGGCCGGGTGGGCGGAGCTATGCTCTGCCGTCACTACCGGATCGCCGAACCACCGGCCAAGATCGCTACCGGATTGGGCGATCCAGTCCAATCCAGGAGCATTTCACCCCTGTCAACAAGGTACCATACAAAAGAAGAAGACAAAAGCCTCTTTTTTTCATTTTTCTTCCTAGGCTTAAGGAGGGCAATATCAGGCAATGATCCAGTTTTGAACATAGAATATGGATTATTCCAACGTCTTGATTGTTTATTGTACAGGGAATATTTGAAAAATGATACAAAGGCTTAGCCTTCCTTTTTGTTTTCTCTTTTCTTTTGTTTCCCTTTTGTTCTCCCTGGTTGTTGCTGGTGGTCATTGTCACAATAATACAAGTATTAATAAAGGAGTAGAATCAGAGAGTTCACTAAGCATGTTTGTAGAAATTGCCAATTCATTCATTCATTCATTCATTCATTCAATTTCTATAGCTGCCCAACTTAAACAAGTGGCTACCAAACAAGTGACTACCACTACAAGTGACTAATGGAGCCTGCCCATCACAGTTGTAAGTTATGATGGTTGTAAAATAGGTCAGTCATGTGACTGACATGATTTTAAGAACTTTTTTTGCAGTGATCATTAAGCAAACATGGTAATCATAAAGCGGCCACCAGAGTCATTAAGCAAATGCTGAGGTCATTAAGTGAACTAGCAGTTCACTATGGTCACAGTTTTGCCAAAGCCCAGAACTGCCAATTTTGGGCAAAACCATCCTAAAATGCAATGACCATGGGATGCTGCACATGGTTATAAGGAAAAATTTCCTAACAGTCAGAACAATCAACCAGTGTAATGGCTTGCCTTCGGAAATTGTCGGTGCTCCATCACTAGAGGCTTTCAAAAAGAGATTGGACATTTGTCTGAAATGGTATAGGGTCTCCTGCTCGAGCAGGGGGGTTGGACTAGAAGACCTCTGAGGTCCCTTCCAACTCGGTTATTTTATGTTCTCTGCAACCCAGTTACCAACCTCCCAGAGTTTGCCCAGAGTCACCCTGGGAGGGATCCAACTGTTGTAACTCCAAATATGGGTCATAAATACCATAGACCTAGTGCAATAGTATCTACAGGCAGTTGCCAGTCATCTCTCCAAGTCCTGGGTTGTACATACTTGTTGATACATTCATCATCTCAAAGCTATCTCTCTTGTTCTTACAGTCCCCTGCATAGCCAAGCTGCTAAACTCCACTCAGGAAGTGTCTTTTACTGAAGAGGTTCCATCTGCAGCTGGTTCTTCTAAATGAGATTGATTAGTAACTTGACCAGCTAATTGATTTCTAATATTTCTCTTCTTGTAGCTCTTCAAGAACGGATGAAAGAGGATTTATTTCTAATGGGAAGAGAGAGATCAAACCCAAGACACATCACCAAAAACTGAGAGAAAAAGATAATTCTGTGTTGCAGTGATGCCTAGATACATCCAAGTATAAAGCTAAAATCATGAAAAGAGTGATTGATGAAGAGAAGCATAAATTGGCCATATCCTTGAGGATATACATAGTAAGAGTTCAAGGGCTTGATTGGTTAATGGCTTTCCTGCTGGCAGGGACAGAGATTGCCAAAGCTGATATTTGCTTACCTCCTTGGCCTGCCAGGCCAGACATCCAGATGCAAGTGTCTTTCTGCTAAATCTGCCATTGTGTTGCCAAGATCCAGAAATCAGCAATGCAAATAGAGAAGCGGAGGGACTTAAGTACCGTGGTACTTAAGGCTCACTCTTGGGTCACCTTATTATCATTTCAGTCCCTACCGCTCCCCAGATTTGCTGAGTGAAGGCATTACTGTATGAAGACACTTTGTTTTGCTACCTAAGATCCTCTGCCAGCTAACCTACATGCTTTCTTGCCTTTTTTGGAGTGTCTAAGAATGCCAGCTTCCATTATAAGGGTGAGTTTTTGCTGCCAACTCTTTCTTAACCAGATTATGGAATCAGGGGTACAATTGTGGGACTCCAATTTAGAGAGAGACCTAGTAAACCAGGTGATGCTATGCCTTTTAATTTTCATCTGATGTCTTTCGTTCTTCCATTTACCTTCTCACCTCCTTTTCTGGGTCTTCCATAGTATTTCTTACCCTGAAAGTCACATACTGTGTTTAAACTATATCTAGCTTATTACATTCACCCAAAAGGAGGGGGGGGGGGAGGAAGTCAATTATCAGATCACCATGACAGAAAGTCTTTTAGATGGAAAGATATATATGTAGTGAAGCATTTCCAAAGGGTCCCCTCCCCTCACATATTGCAGAGTTGAGCTGGGAACTTGTTTGAGATGGGCAGCTATTCAAATTGAATAAATACATAAATAATTGAAGAAGTATCACCAGAGGAATTGTCTAAAATGTACAAAGGTACATTTGCTGGAATTCTTTGCTGGAAATGTGAACATACTGTATCAAAATATTTTGTTATGTTTGGTGGACATGTAAAAAACCAACAAACCATTTTGGATACAAATACAAATTCAGAAATTTTTAAACGTTAAAGTACAACTTTAGAAACCAGAGACTTTTCTTTTGGGGCTAGAAACCAGAAAAAAAGTCACAGAACTTTGTTTTTACATATGATAACTGTATACTCAATAGTGGAAAGGTTTGATTTGTTGCAGGAAAAGAAACGGAACCAGGCCAAGCTCTTCAATGCAGGAAAAAGTTTATTGTGCACGGTTCAAACAGTCCAAAGACAAGCAGAAAGTCTGAACATTGATAGCTTCTTCTGGCCATGTATTTATACAATTTAAAGGCAGAGTTATTACAGAGAGTGATACATTTCACACGTAGAAGTTGCCCTTCCATCTATCTCTAGGAAAGGAAATAACAATCCTGTTCTCACAGATTCAGGTTCTCTGCTCCGGAGCTCAAGACATAATAAAAAGGAGATAAGAGGCTTGGAGACGCCTCAAGGGCAGTAAAGGAAGCAGTACTTCTCATCTAGGGATATACATGACATTTGGGATGCAATAAACAATAAACAACAGGATGTATCTGTTTAGGGTCAGTTTGCCCTTTTACAATTCTGTGCCTACGTCAAATACCTTTTGTCAGCTTAGCACCTTGGCACGGAAGAGGCACTTCTGTCTTGACCAAAGATTTGGAATTCTAATATTTGAATTTTGTCCCAATATCGGATCTTAGCCTAGCTCATTACCCCTCTTTGTGACTCATCTGTCTTATCCAGACGAGTCACACCTCCAGGTCCTCTTCCTGCTGGAGCCGTTTGTAATCCCACATAGCCATCACCTGAGCAGTTGTCTTACGTTCCACCAGCAAGGATAGACTTTTAGAAATAGTTTTAACAAACAGAGGTAGAAAACATGGGAGAAAAATACACCCTGCAGCTATTAATCCCATCAGGCCAAAGATGGCCTGCAGGCCGGGTAACTTTGGCCACCATCCTGAAAACATATCCTGCAAATTAAGGCCTTTCCAAGTCTGGACTGGCACATGAGCTATTTTGACCATTTTATCCGTTATTTCCTTAATAACTTTCCCACTTTCATCAATTTCTATGCAGCAATTAGTTAAATTAAACTTTCCACATACCCCTCCTTCTTTAGCTAATAGGTAGTCCAAGGCTAATCTATTCTGCATAATATATGTCCTTGATTTAACACTTTCCCTGGCTAATTGAGTAAGACCTTTCACAGTTTCATTGGTGATTATTTCAACCACTGCTTGCAGACGAATTAAACGGTTCAGAATGTACACGGGGGTCCGATAGCCATACATGCCATCTTCCGCCCAGGTAGCTGGTCCATAAACCTCAATAATTCGCTTTGCAGGCCACTCCTCACTTCCCCAACTGCGTTGGTTGCCTCCGACCCTAACCTTTCCTATTGCAGATGTATCTACATGTCTCCTTTGTCTTAAGCTCCCCACCTCATCATATACCGGGACACCTAAAACCTGTCGAGTTTTAAGGGGAAGCAAAAAGAATCTGGGCCTAATTAGTCCCAGGACGCAGGTTCCACACCAAGTCTTTGGTAGAAACCCATATGCCATCTTGCCACATATCCAGTACAGTCCATCAGGAGCCAGCCATTCGAGGGTCTGATTATCTGGATCCTTTAAAAAGGCTAACTCATTTACCTTAAACAGAGCCATTTCATCAGTTCCCTCTGTGGCATTACTTCCTGACCACCATACCTTACTTTCCCATTTGCCTGTGCATGTGAGGTTTCCTACCTGATGACAGCCTGCTACAATTTTTCTCTGGAAACATACATTCCCTACCAGACTAGTAGTCAGTGTCCAGTCCCCATCTTTACCCTTGTTATATGACAGGTTACCTTTTTGATCCATTTCTAGTACTTTGGAGTAATTTAATTCCTGGGCTTCCCATGGCCATTTTTCTCCCATATTAGTCCCTCCACAAACGAAACAATTTGATACATTCAGGGTATGGGCTATGTCTTCTGCCAATTTGACAAAGGTATTTGTTACATGACTAGGGATTTTGGGTACATTCAACTTCTCCATCTCGAAATAATATGACCAGAACAACTCTTTCGTGTCATGCATTGCTCTGGTAACTTTAGTGACATACCATCGAAGGGTTACAAGGGGATCTTTTCCCTTGGCATAAATTCCTAATCCATAATCCTCCTTCCATAGTTTTGTCGGGGTACATGTAATCTTTATAGGATTACATTCATTCTGTCGGCAATTATTACTAGCTACCCCATTTTCCAACTTGCATTTTTGGGTACCCCCCGGCTGATCTCCTGACCACATAACTGCACAAGACCAATATGGACAATAACTATATGTGTCCCGATTACCGCATTCTCCCTGCTTTCGACACATATACTTTTTGTCTAACATATAACTTCTTTCCCACTCCAATGTCCCACACGTTGATTTCCATATATCACAGTTACGATTGATAGCTAAACAGGCATCAAATGTTATTTCTACTGGCTTCCCTAACTTTCTAAATTCTGTCTTATTCAAAAGCTCTTCTCTCCCGCATTCCGTTGTGTATATTGACATTTCATAAGTAGTTATCTGTTTGGCTTCTGCGGGGTTATAGCACTGCACCTTATCCTTCAGTATACACATGTGATATATGGTATTGTTTACCTGACAGGTTTGGGGTGTGTGTTCCTTGCACCTGTCAGGTTTTTGAGTGTGATAAATCAAAGTATTAGAAACCTGTGTTCCCTGCAGTGTTGTACGTATGCATGGGTCACAGTTCTCCTTGCTTATTGCTTCTATCATAGGAATGTCTGGCTCGCTTCGTAGTATCATTACCCATCCACTCATCCATAATCCCACTCCAACAATCACCATGTTTTGCATCCTCCCGGTCCTTTTCATTCCGATCTCTCAATGCTGTCTCAATAGTGGGGCTAGTCTTAAGCGTATAATAAGATTTCTCTAAACCTATCACCAAATAGTGCTCTAGCACGTCTTCTATGATCTTTATGTCATACTCAATCAAACACCCTGTACACAAAACACAGTCTATACAATGAGCGCAACAACAACACTCACATCCACAATTACAGAACCAACACATTTGAGAGAAAAAAATCTTTGTACATTAAAGAACCGCCTTTCGCCTGTCGCAATAAGTACTTCTTTGGTCAGCAGACGGTTTATACCGCGTGGGTGTTCAGGAGAAGATCTGGACAGTTAGGGATTGGAGTAGCTGATGCCTCAATGCTCTTCGGTTGTCCGCAAAACCACTATTTATACCTGTAAAACACAATAATCGACAGGATCAATACCCTCAATCCCCAACACGCCCACTGCCAACTCTCCTCCCACATGGATCCTTGTTCTTCAGCCGCTTGTCCTTAATCAGCCTCCAACACAATGCGACAACCCAGGTATCCAGTCCACTCTTTGATCTGCTGTGAGTCCCCACAATCGATTACACCTCCAAGTATCCTATATATAAAATAGAAAAAGCTTTCTTTAAACACGCTTGAATGTTAGCTTAGTTGGGTTTTGTTTGTCCACGGTCACTTTCCAGCCGGTTTCCGCTGCTGCCTTGACTCATGTCCAGTGAATCCACGACTTTGATTCTGCAATCTTAATAGCAAGTGGAGAAGTCATAATAACAGTAAAAGGTCCTTTCCATCCTCCTCCTAGTGGCTCCTTCTTCCAATGTTTAACCCATACTTGGTCCCCTGGTTTAAATGGGTGACAATGGGTTATTAGTCGGGGGGGTACTTGCTCCATCACATATCGCTGGAGCCTCTCAACTTGCTTATTAAATTCTTGTACCATCTCCATATTCCAGACCCCCCCTTTATGACCCAAGTCCGGCCACCCAGCCAAGTTCCTTCTTAGCAACCCTGGCGATCGTCCATACATTAACTCATATGGAGATAGCTTATGTTGGCCCCTTGGAGAGCTTCTGATTGCATACAAGGCCAGTGGTAAGGCATCAGGCCACCTTAAATGACTATCCGTACAGATCTTAGTTATTCTTTCTTTGAGTGTCCTGTTCATTCTTTCTGCACATCTACCTGATTCCGGCCGAAAAGCACTGTGAAACCTCCACGTTATCCCTACCGCCGCTGCAACTGCCTGATTAATATGGTGAACAAACTCAGGACCATTGTCCGACGAGATATAACTGGGAATTCCAAATCTGGGAATTATCTCTTTTAGTAATAGTCTGGCCACCTCCCGCGCCTGCTTGGTCTTTGTTGGAAAAGCCTCAGGCCACCCCGTATACATATCCACCATAACTAACAGGGCTTTAAACAATCCACATCTAGGCATATCAGTAAAGTCTATCATAATGTAATCCATGGGGATGTACGACCGGGGTATGGCACCAGGGGGCAGTAAGGGCCCTTGCCTTGGATTAACCTTTGCACACGTAACACACTTCGCAACCGTCCCGGCAGCGACTCCGGCAGCCCATTAATATAGTAATCCCTTCCTAATGCTAGTTCTAAAGCCGTTTTCCCCATATGTGTTGTTTCATGGGCTAGGCAAGCTAGTGTCCAAGCTATCGAGGCTGGTATAAAAACCCTCCTGTCTGGTAATACATACCACCCATCTTCAACCTGAGCTTTCAAATCTGTCACTGCTTTCACACTTTCCTGTTGCGTATATGTTGGTTTAATTTCAGGGGGTAAAACCCCTAAATCCATAGCTATACAAATAGATAAATCGGGCAGTGGTCCCTCTTGTTTCGCCACTTCCCTAGCTTCTACATCAGCTGCCCTATTTCCCATAGCTACCTTATCATCTCCCCTTTGATGTCCTTTACAATGCATCACTGCCACTTTCTTTGGCTTGTTTACAGCTTCAATCAAGCGACTAATAAGATGTCCATGCAAAATACCTTTCCCTGCTGAACCTCTGAATCCCCGTTCTTTATAAACAGCCCCGTGTGCATGTAAAGTAAGGAATGCATATTTACTATCTGTCCACACGTTCAATGTTTCTCCCTCGGCCCTTTCTAAGGCACGTATCAATGTCCACAACTCAGCCACCTGTGCATTATGTCCACTTCCTAGGGGTCCACTTTCCACCACTCCTTCATCATCTACAACAGCATATCCAGACACCCGGCACCCATCTATAATATAACTGGATCCATCCGTATACCAATTAAGCTGTGCATTGGGCAACAGAATATCTGTTAAATCAGGTCGGGTGGAATAAACTTTCTCTAATACTTGTAAACAGTCATGCTGTGTATCAACTTCCGTTGGCAGCAACGTAGCAGGATTCAGCCTATTGGACATTACCAAGCGCACCTGAGGATTCTCAATCATAATTGCCTGGTATTTTGCCAATCTTTGTCCACTAATCCACAAGTGTCCTTTAGCGTCCAAAATGGACTGCACTGCATGGGGGGAGTGCACGATTATAGGACAGGAAAAAGTAAGTTTGTTGCAATCTTGAATTAATTCTGCGATCGCCGCCAACACTTTTAAACAATGGGGCCAGCCTCTTGCTACTCCATCCAATTGTTTTGACAGATATGCCACGGGTTGTTGCCAACTTCCCAGCGGTTGGGTGAGAACCCCCACCGCAATATTTCTGCTTGTGTCTACATACAAATTAAAAGGCTTCTGCAAATTTGGTAAGGCTAGCGCCGGAGCCTGGGTTAGCGCAAGTTTTATATCTTTAAAAGCTTTTCTCTGTTCTCCTCCCCATTCAAGGGTTCCGTGTTGGCACCCCTGGTGGCTGCATACAAGGACAGCCGTGCGTCCAGGAGGACGCCCAAGTTACGAGCCCTCTCCGTGGGGGTGAGTGATTCACCCCCAATAGCCAGCGATGGCGTCAGCTGGCTATATTGGGACGCCGGAAGCCACAGCCACTCGGTCTTGGAGGGGTTGAGTCGGAGCCTGTTTCTCTCCATCCAGGCCCGCACGGCCTCCAGGCACTGGGACATCACTTCAAGGGCATCGTTGGGGTGGCCTGGGGTGGAGATGTACAGCTGGGTGTCGTCAGCATACTGATGGAACTCCACCCCGAAGCCACGGATGATCTCACCCAGTGGCTTTACATAAATGTTGAACAGAAGGGGCGAGAGGACCGACCCTTGTGGCACCCCACAAGCAAGGTGCCTCGGGGTCGACCGCTGCCCCCCTGTCAACACAGATTGCGACCGGTCAGAGAGGTAGGAGGAGACCCACTGCAGAACGGTGCCCCCCACTCCCAACCCTGCCAACCGGTGCAACATGATACCATGGTCGATGGTATCAAAAGCCACTGAGAGGTCTAACAGGACCAGGATAGAGGAGCAACCCCTATCCCGAGCCCTCCAGAGATCATCCACCAACGTGACCAATGCCGTTTCCGTGCTGTGCCCAGGCCGGAAGCCGGACTGGAGCGGGTCTAGATAGACAGCTTCATCCAGGTACCAGGGAAGCTGTTGCGCTACCACACTCTCAACAATCTTCGCAACGAAGCGAAGGTTGGAGACTGGACGATAGTTAGCCAAAACAGCCGGATCCAGAGAGGGCTTCTTGAGAAGGGGCCTCACAACCGCTTCTTTCAAAGTGGTCTTTTCTCATTCTTCCGGGTCAGCAGAGTGCATAACAACTATTGTACATCCTGCCACGTTGGATTATGTGTCTGCATAATAGTTTGAAACAGGTCCGCCATTTCGGTGGGCTTAGTGGTCAGCGGCCCATAGTGTTGTTTCCAGTTTAAAAGGTCAGTAGTAGTAAATGGCACATATTGAAAAAGGGGCTGATGTTCCACCTCCCCCTGCTGGTTCACTATTATCTGATCCACCTGGCGTAATGGCACTGTGACTTCTTGCTTACTAGCCTTCAACTTAGCTTTCACTGCGCGAGATTGCATCCCCGCCTGCTCTTTTCCTGTTGCTTCCTTTAACCCCTCATCACCCCGATCCTCTCCTTCACTCCGGCTATCTTCTTCCAGTGGGGGACTTTTCTTAACTTTTGGTATAGCACCCGGATCGTTGCGCGTCTTTGATCTCCACCTCCATCTCCTCCTACGGCCCCCTGCAACTGCTGCTGCTGCGCTGGGGGCTGCTGCTGTGCTGGGGGCTGCTGCTGCGCTGGGAGCTGCCACAATGGAGCATACGGGGGTGGTCTAACTACCTCCTCCGCGTCCTCTGTCAATACTTTTCTCTTTCTTGGATATTCCTCTGTTCTTTCTGCCTGCATTTTTCCTTGCTCACTTCTCTTCCCCTTAATCTTCCTGCCTGATCTAGATACACATAACCTGACCATTTCAGCCTGACACTGCAATAAATCCTCAGCTTTTTCTATTAGGGCTTTCGCCCATTGATCAATGTATTGAAATTGATCAAGATATTTATCCTGATTCACTACGATCACTCCCCACAACTTATCCACCGTTTCTTCCCTTAGCGATCCCTGAGGGGGCCAGCCCGTCCCCATTTGTGGCCACACATGTTTACATAAGAATTTTAATCGATCCTTTGATCCTTTCAGATAGGAAGGGTTGCTAAAATAATTGTAAAAACCTTTTAACATGCATGCCAACGGAGTATTTGGCACGCTCTGAGCTCCTCCCATTCTATCACACTGCTGCCAACTCGTAGCCCCGGAACTCACGGTCACTAACGAGAACTGCGATGGCTTACCCAACCCACACAACCTGATGGAACTTGCAGAGATAGCTAAATTCACTTTGCTTAGAGAAAAAAAAACAATATCTACATTTATGATTGATTGGAAACCCCTTATAGAGACCCCTTTCTGCATGAAACAGGAAAAAAAATGCACAGATGGTTTATTGTTTTGATGGACAATAGAAAAAAGAGAGAATTTTATAAATATACTTATATTCGCTGCGAAGAAAAACAGAAGCTTCTATTTTTCTTTCTGATTCTTTCTACACTTTTGCTTTTCTTCTTTTCTTTCTTTACTGCTTCTCCACTTTCTTAATTTGTGTTACTTTTGATGTCTTTCTTTCAGGGGTGAAATGCTACAGGTTCGCATCAATTCGGGGCGAACTGGTAGCGGCAGCGGTGGGTGGTTCAGAGAACCGATAGCGGTGGCAGCATGAGGCTCCACCCACCCACCCAGACGTCATTACTTCCTGGTTTTAACCAGGAAGTAACCTGTTTGTTACTCTGCGCATGCGCAGAGGCTCCAAAATCACACATGACACGCATGCACACACTTCCAAACCGGTAGGGCAGGTAAGTAGATTTCACCCCGGTTTCTTTACTAAAACTTTAGTAAAATGTTTACTAAATGTAATAAAATGTTTATTAACTTTACTAAAATGTTTATTAAAAAAGAAAAGAATCACATGTATCTCAAGGTCAAATTCGAGTAGGAGGTGGACTGTATTTAACTATTACAGCTGCTTGAAATATGGAAAAAAAATCTTTCTAACGTCATGGTGTGTCTGCCCTATTGAAATCTAAGTGAAATTTCTTCATTTCTTTGAGCTCTGCTTTGCTTTAATTTAACGCATTGTCAACATGTCAGGAGTCTTCTTACTCTCTTTTTGTCACACCATTAAAATACGCTGACATATTTGTCTTTTGTTCTGGATAATTTAGTTAATAGGAAAAAAGCAAGACTTCTCTCCCATCAGAAATTGAATAAACCCAGGTTTCCCTTCACTGCTCAAGAAGTAATAGATTCTCTGTTTTGGTCTCTGTGGGGTCCACACAACTACTGCTTCTATATAGAAAATACAGACAAAAAATCCATCAGTAAACCTTCCCCCGGTTCCCACCATTTTTCTTTTCAACTTAAGAAACACTTGGTAAAGAATTCTACAAGGTTTGCAAATGGGGAAATGCCAACTGGTAGGCTATTGATTTTCCTTAAGTGACTGTAGAGCTGTGAATCAAGGCTCCTTTGAGGAACAGCCTCAGTTTTGCATTCCAAATTTGATTGCTTACTTTGAGGGCTTCCTCTTAATCTTTAGGGGGCCATGACTCCCACTAGTCTTTGGAGAAGCCTTTCAAAACCCCCAAACCCAACCCTTCTCTAAGGTGATCCTTTTCAAATGTATTGTCATTTCCTCCAGTGAACAGAGACAAAGATAGAAAACTGAACAGAAATACATCTGATGGGCATCATGTTGCTGAAGACTATTATAGTTTATATGTCATGTTTTAAGCAAAAGACATAATAACATTTAGAAGTTCTCTTTGAGAATCTGTTTCTCCAATACCTTATAAGGCAGATGGGCAGCATAAAAAATGTAATAATTAATTTTAGAGCTTCAAATAAATGTCACTGAAAATGTATCCAAGGGTATTTTTTCAACAAGTCCTAATTAAGTTAGAGAGGTTGAACAATGTGGTTGTGGCAGGCCTGGTTGCTGTATTCTGCCCTTCTCTGCTAGAATGGAATTGGTGGAGCAAGAAATGATGAAATGTGTATTGTGACATCACAAACAAATCAGATAATTCACATACTTATGTCTGTTGGAAGAAATATGCATCTGGTTCACTTCCGAGCCAGGAGAAAGACACTGAAAACATGGAGGCTGATTGGAAAGATGGTTTAATGGTGAAGCAGAACCACCAAGCACATAGTTCTGGGCAGCTGACCACATGGAGTTGAGAGTGAGGGGGTTTTATACCTTCTCTTGGGCCTTGCACTTGAACTTCCTGTTCCTGTGCAAGAACATGTATTCTATTGGCTGTTGTCAAACTCCCATGGGGCCATGTGGGGTCATGAACATCTGAGCCAAGTTTGGTTGAAGTGTGCTGATGCAATGTCCTTAGGAGATTGTGCAATGTAGTGAGTTCTGCTGCTAGTGTGTTAATCCTATTATGTCCTGGAAAGTCATGTCTTAATCCCATCACCCTGGAGCTGAAGGTCTTTTGTCTTCTAGATAGGACGGCCCAGTCTTTCTTAATGGGCACCAAATAACTGCTGGGGGCAGGGGACTGAAGCTCTGAGTTTCTGTCTCCCTTAAGATGTTTATTTCTCTTTTAGGGGAAATATTTTATCCTGCCTTTTTAAAAATATTTCTCAAAATATTTCTTTCTTCTAGGAGGGGTGGCTTCCCTCATGTCTGATATCTGGAGCAAGCAAAAAAGGGGCTGGTTGCATTGCAACACAATACGGACTTTGTCAGTATCCATCAACGTAGTTTGTACCTGATGCTTGTATTTTCACTGGGACGTGTGTGTGTGTGTTTCTAATATATATTTGCCTTGCTGTTTGACTTTAGGAAGGTCATCTGCCCTCTTCCTGCCATCTGTGAGGTGTCTGACAAGTAAACCTCCCATGAAGAGGTGCTGAAAGGCTTAATTATGAATTGTGGCAGGGACATCATTTTAAGGAACACCATGGAAGAGTGATGAAGTGAAGGGACAGCAAAAACTTTGATCAAAAAGTGCCTGGCCATTCAACCCAATATAGCACAACCAACACAAGCCATAAAAAGAATAATATTGGCATACATCAAGAACATCTCAGAAACCACCAACAGACTGCTACAACCACATGGAATCAGAAAAAAAAACCAGGAGTCATCTACAACATACAGTGGAATGATTGCAACAGCCACTACATAAGATAAACAGGCAGAAGACTGACAGAACACATCCATGGATACCAACTAGCAGTCAGAGAACATGATGAAAACTCTTTAATTTCAAAACATATGGAGAGAACTAACCATAATTCCAGCTGGAAAACTATGACTCTCCTAGACCAAGACAAGTCCAAAAATGCCAGGGAACTTCTAGCATCCTGGCACTCTGACAAATTAGCCATCAATAGACACATAGACATAAACAACATCTACATATTATGCAAAAGAGACAATCAACAAGCCAAAATAGAACAAAAAAACCAAAACACCTCCCCACCAGCAATCAGCACCCAGATGAGCATAGATTAACTCCAGGATTAACATCAGATCTACAATAAGGAGTAAACAATACCCCAATCAAGGAACTGCCAAAGAAGCTGGCAGTAAACAGCCCAACCAAAGAACCTCTAAGACAGGGGTGTCAAACTCACGTCGTCACAGAGGCGTCACATGATGCATTGGGACTTTTTTTCCCCTTCGCTAAACCAGGTGGGTGGGAGCCATCATGTGACGCATCCAGCTTGCAGCCCGCAAGTTTGACATCCCTGCTCTAAGATCATTCCCACCAATGCTGACAGGCCACAAGAATATAAACTGAGGGCAAACCCCATTCCTTACTAGCACTGATCATATTACCTAGTTTGGGGTAATAAAATGTCTGCAAGAAAACAAGCAAGCTCAGAGAGCACCAAGAATCCCTCACAGCATAAACTACTTGATGCCTCCCAACTCCTTGTCTGAGATGGGGCAAGGACCTGGAATCTCTTTTTCTATGCCACTGAGTATTGCTGTCATGCCAAAGAATGAGCCTCTGGACTGATGGTTAGAAGCTGGGTCTGGATTCTTAAAATGTCCTTAAAAACCTTAAACAACTGTATTGTGACGATCGGATGCTTGAGGTGCAATCTGGTCATTCTAAAGCTACAGGTTGTTTTGTTTTCTTTATAAAATCCTAATTGTCATCAAGTATAACATCCGGAGAGCTATGATAAATGTAAGTGCAGATTATAGAAAGAAGCAAGTCACCATAGAATAAGAGACAAATTTAGAGCGGCATTTATAACTGCTATAAAGAAGATTGGAAACTAGTTTCTTTGTACCTTTTTTCTTTTTTTTTCTATTTTTCTTTAACTTTCCTGCACTTTTAGTTTTCCCTTTGATTTCTTTTTTAAAGACTTTTATATACTTTCTATAATTTGTATTAGTTTTATCTTCCTCTTTTTTTAAAAAAAATCTTTAATAAAACTTAGATAAAATTTGTAGGTGCAAATATAGTAATTCTCCTCCTCTTCTGTCCTGAGTAGCATCTAACAGTCTCCTCTACTTTGCCTTTGTAAGTTCCTGAGGAACAAATGGTACTTGAAATATCGTAACACAAAGAAATCATTAATCCTCACCCAGCATATCTAACAGCTCTCTGGAAATTATAGATGGTCTAATACGTCTGCAGGAAAAAATTTCCAGATGGGAAAAATTGATTTATGAGTTTCTGCATGTCATCTATTGCTTATAAACTCAGATAGAAGAAGGTTGATCTCTCCTGCAAGAGAATGTTATCGTAAAGCTAAATCCAGAAGATATGTATGGAGTTGGCTATTGTAATGAATAAAAAACATGTATGAAATTGGTTCTCCAGATAGGAACCCAAATCTTTCTTAGCTATGATTGATACACGAAACAATGAAATACCATGATTACCAAAGCTTGTGAATATTCTGTGGTCCAAACTTTAGGTTTGAAAAAAAATCAGTGTATGTATAAGTCTGTCTCTTACCAGATGCTTTGCCTCTTGTTAGCTCCTGCTTGGTAGTAGTTGAATAGAAGTGACATAACTATCCCACAAGAAGCTGAGTGTATTGAAAACTGGATGCTAATAAGGTTAGAGACAGGGAGATGGTCACAGGAAACTGAGCAATAACCCCCATGGAGAGGAGCTTCTTTTCATCAAGGAATTTACAGTGGCAATTAGCTGTCTTTGCATTTTGATGCTTGCTCTTTCAAGTGAGCCAAATTGGTGGCTGCTTCGACAAGCCGTTTGCTTCCAGCCTCTCATCTCTTTAATTTCATTGTGACAAATGCTTCCGGCCTGATTTCATGTTTAAGCTGCTGCTTTCTCCTTCCCAAACCCCCTCCCCTCTTTTCTGACAGGGCAGTTTATAATAATTGAGGTTATCGCCCATTCTCCCACCACCTTCCCCAGCTGCAGGGAAGGGAGTCCCAGCCCTGAGAACAGTTTGCAATCTGTTGGCTGGACTCCCTCTCCCTCTCCCCCTCTCCGTTTCACCCAAACGCTTAAAGTGAAGATTGACTTCGTCCTGTCTCTCCAAGGATACTAATGAGGAGGCTACTTGTGCCTTTGCAGGGTTCTCTAAGGAAAATAAACTGGCTGTGGAGCCCAAGCAGCAGCAGAGTGGGTCGTTAGCCTAGTTCAAAAGAGCATTTATAAAACCTTTCTGGTTCGGTAAGACAAGCCTTGTCAAAAATGCATATAAAAAGCTTTCTCTATGTTCTCCTTTAGGGGAAATATTTTATCCTGCCTTTGTTAGTATCCCCCAAAATATTTCATTCTTCTGGGGGGGGGCTTTCTACAACCAGATAACTGCAAGGAGGAACATTAAACTCCCCAAACCAGAATATATTGTGCAATAAAAATAAAAAGCAAGAGTGGGTTTTGATACAGTAGCTATCAGACAAGTGTAGTTGGACAGCGATGATGGTAATAACCGCCCTAACCTGAGCAGATGATGATGATGATGATGATGATGATGATGATGATATCCATCCAGTCAAGTCTGACTCTTGCTGATTCTATGGGCCAAGTCTCTCCACATCTTCTGATCTTGCACTACTTATGTTTTTCTATGTTTTAGCATAGCTTTGATGGTGTCCAGCCACCATGTTCTTTGGAGGCCTGTCTGGGTTCCCTTTTTCCGCTAACTCTTCCAAACATAATTGCTCTCTCCAGTGAATTCCCCTGCAAGACATGGCCAAAGTAAGTGAGGTGCAGTTTCGTGATTTTGCCTTCTAGTGACATGTCTGATGTGAGTAAACAATAGCAAGTTGCAACTGGTTTTATTATAGGGTTGTATGTAATTCAAACAGAGGCAGGTAGAACTTTTGGCTGAACGGTTGCACACAAAGTTCAAGGGGAATTCTGGGAAGGGAAGGGAAGGTCTGCCTGGTAATCAGGACCAACTTGATACTTCAAGATCCAGAACTGGAATCAGCAGTAAGAGGCAGATCTAGGAAGTGGAGGGCCCAAAGCATAAAAATAGGAAGAAGCAACAGCAGAGAAACCAGAGTGGCCTGTCTAGCTAGAATTCAGACACACGAGACTTCTATAAGCTATTCTGAGTTGTAAGCCTAGAGTCTTGAGAGCCAAGAGTAAGGATACAGGTATGCAGATCTGACATCGCAAGGTTGATTTCAACAGAGAGCAAGACTTGGTAGCTACTTCAAAGTAACCTCCACTGTGGGCACAACTCAGGATCGCCTTTGTTCTGTCCTTCAAAATTGGGAATGTGTCTTGGAGCTGGGTGTCATGTTTGAACCTGGCCCCTCGTGATCTGAGTCTGCCTTCCCCTGCTCTGCTGATGGTCTCTCTGCTCTACTTCAGGTGACTGATTGCTTGCCGGTCCCCAAGCTGACAACACGTCAGATTAGGCCTTCAGCCTCTGACTCGGATGAAACAGAAGAGAACATAACTGTGATCATCAAGAACAGGAATAGGAACATCACCAGACAACTGTCACCTGTGGCTGCATTCTGAACATGCAGAAGAGTGTACCCTTTTTATGCATTTTATCCAGGACTGTCTGCTCACATTTGCTGAGATGTGAGCTGTGGTTTTCTGAATAATTAATCTACTCATTTGAAGGGATGATAGCAAGTTCCAAATTGTGGGATAGCATTATAGCACTTCTAAAGGCAAATTATATTAGGTCATGGATTCTTCAGTGTATTTTAAGGTCCAGGAGAATTGTGCCCAAAGGTGGGAAGCAAATCTGGCAGACTGTTGATGTCTAAGAGAGCTGAGCTACTGAGCACGGGGGCTTGATGTGGAAGAGACAAAGTCTCTGGGAGAAGAGAGTCTCATTATGCACATGGTCCAGGCTACCATTATAGCTTGATAATACCCAACATTATTAAAGTGAAAGCTGAATGAAAAAGCCTATGCTTTCACTGTACTGCCAGGTATCTAAGTCAATGGACACATATTCACAATCCAGTTTTATAGCACTTTACTTATTTAAAGCAACCTACACTGGTCTTTTGCAAACTGGCCTTAGTTTCTTCTTGCAGAATGTTTCTGAGGGAGAAAGAATCAAGTCCAACTCAACACTGGTCTTTTGCAAACTGGCCTTAGTTTCTTCTTGCAGAATGTTTCTGAGGGAGAAAGAATCAAGTCCAACTCAACATAATTTTGACTGCCTGAATTAGATATTCAAGCCTCACTCTAGGCTGCAGCTTATGAATTAGGTCCTTTTCTTGGGGCCGTATTTATTAATTGCTGACTTGCAACATTCACCAACCCTGAGCACAGCCGCTCTTTTTGGAGGTTGAACTAGCAAAGTGCTTGAGGAAATGTGATTTTTCACATCCGAGTTCAGAAGCAGAATAAATGAAATTGTTTTTTAACTGTACAATGATATATAGCACTTAGACTTATATATTTATTTATTTATTGGTTCGATTTATATGCCGCCCTTCTCCAGAGACTCAGGGCGGCTTACAATGCGTTAAGCAATAGCCTTCATACTTTTGTATATACCTGCTTAGTAGGGCTTTCGGCCTCCCCTAAGCAGTGTTCTTTTCTATACAAAGTCAGCTTATTGCCCCAACAAACCGGGTCCTCATTTTACCTACCTTGAAAGAATGGAAGGCTGAGTCAACCTTGAGCCTGGTGAGATTCGAACTTGCAGTAATTGCAAGCAGCTGGTGCTACTTAACATCACTTTAGTCTGCTGCGCCACCAAGGCTCTTAATATACTGCTTCATAGTGCTTCCCAGCCCTCTCTAAGCAGTTTACAGAGTCAGCATCCTGCCCCCAACAATCTAGGTCCCCATTTTACCGACCTCAGAAGGGTGGAAGGCTGAGTCAACCTTGAGCCGGTTAGGATTGAAGTTCTGGCTGTGAGCAGAGTCACCCTGCAAACTGCATTCTAACCACTGTGCCATCAGAGTTCTTATACATGCATGCTGTGTGTGTGTGTGTGTGTGTGTGTGTGTGTATTAGTATTGGCATCCTTCAGTCTCAAGAGACTATGGTATCGTGCTCTGGAAAGAGGTCCTAAAACAGCATCTAGTGTGACAAAAAAGGCCAATTTGAGAGTGGCAATCCCTTCCACACTGAGGGCAGATACATTCTGTTCCCTGCCTAGCCCCCAGATTTCGCTGGTTCTGGGACTGCCTCTTTGCCTCAGCCTGTCAAACAAGTGTCTCTTCGAATTGGAGAACGCCATGCTGTGTCTTTAGCCTCCAAGCTGAACGATCGGAGGTCAAGGTTTCCCAGTTGTTAATGTCCATTCCTAGGGCCTTTAGGTTCTTCTCGCAGATATCCTTATATCGCAGCTGTGGTCTCTCTCTGAGGCACTTTCCCTGCACTAATTCTCCATACAAGAGATCTTTTGGAAGCCGACCATCAGCCATTCTCACGACATGCCCCAGCCAGTGTAGACGTCGCTGTCTCAATAGTGTATACGTGCTAGAAATTCCAGCACGTTCAAGACTGTGTGTGTTCCAAGTAAGTATGTATGCATATGTATATGCATTATGGATAAAATGAAATTAATCTGTTATTAATGGGTCTTTCATTGAGAAATCAACAATCCTGCCAATTATCTCTTGCACATGTTCTGGTGGCTGCAGTTTAGCCTGAGATCCAGCCTGTCTTGGGGTTACATCATTAAGAATGCAGGTTGGCCACTCATTCTACATCTCTATCGCTGACTTTTGCCCACTTGTGAACTTTCCTTTTTCTAATAGCTCCACAACATCTCTCAATTTGGTCTATCTCCAGTCAGGTATTATCTCTATTTAAAATACTCCAGAGAAGGGGGAAAAAATCTGCCTAGTTTTGCAGTGCTGGAAAAGAGATGGAGATGTCAAGCTCTCAGCTTGCCCGCTCAGGATAAAGTCTTTGATGGAAGATGCCATAGGAGACCTTTCAGTCAAGCAAGTACTTTATTTGAAGTACCCAGTTGGGTTTCTTGTAATCAACAGAATGTAAGCATGAGATGAAATGTTTTACAGTCCCAAAGGAAGACGGTCCGGTGCTTCCAGTGGGCATCTGTGTACTAAATCTGGATTAAGGGCTCTGTCTTTAATTTGATGGTGTCTACCATCCTCTCAGCCCTCAGTACCATCTCTTAATTTGTGGAGGCTCAGGCTTCCTGGCCTAGAAAATAATAACTACCTGTGACTTTTTAAATCAGAAAGACGGCATCCTTTATTGTTCATCTCTTTCATGATCTAAAATCCCTTCTGCTCTTCCTTTTCCACGATGTTCTGAAAGGTAGTGTTCAACTGATTGAAAACAAAATTGTGGTGATAAACAAATAATGCTTAAGTCATCTGGCAGGCTATAAAGCAAACTATCACCCTGATAGTACACGCACCCTTTCAGCTGGATAGAGTAAAGGGCAGAGGTGAAATGCTACCAGTTCGAGCCAGTTCACCTGAACCGGTAGTAAAAAATTGCTTTAAAAAATAAAACAAAAGTTCCAACAATCGTGCGGCACAACTGATTTTTTAAAGCATGTTTTTTACTACCGGTTTCAGGCGAATAGGTAGTAAAAAAATGCTTTTAAAAAGTTAAAAAAAGGTTCCAACGATCAGCTGTGCCACGCGATCGTCGGAATTTTTTTTTTTTTTTACTTTTTAAAGCATTTTTTTACTACCTATTGCCCGAACCGGTATTTTTGTGTAAAGCATGATAGTTTGTTTTTGAGCTCTCTGTGACCCTGTGA